GACAGCACCAACCACAGAAGAAAGTATCACAGACAGAGGGAAGAGACTGTGCAAAAGCCCAGGGGCTAGAAAGAGCTTGCCATGTGCAAAGTGTGAGGTCTTAAAAATTTGTGATACAAGTAGCATAACAGGAGACATTGACTGGTTGGCTTCCAGACATGGTGGGGGACATGAGTGCTGTGATGTGTAGACCCAAGTATCATAGAATGGGCACAGCACTCTTCCCCAGAGCACCAAGCACTCCACCTGTGACAGAGAAATCTCCTCACAAGCAGCTCTAAGTGGCAGTCCTTCGGGGGCACTCTGGCAGGGTGGACATCATCTGGCCATTTGAGAAGGGCCTGGATGTCGTGAAGAATCTTCTAGCTCAGGCTCGGTTGGCTAACCCAGCCTTCGGGGGCCTGCTGGGAAATGTCAAGCGTGGATAGAGTTATGGAAACTAGAAAGCCTCTTTTCATGTTTGCCTAGTGATGAGAGGAAGCAAGGAGTCTGTTGCTTTTTCATACCTCTCCCGTGGACTCTGAAAATTAATTCCCCCGTCAAGATTCCCACGCCCCAAATGTGGGTTTGGGGAGAGAAATTAAGACTTTGAAGTCGAGGAAGAACGTACAGAAAACGTTCTCTAGACAAATGCTCGACATGCCGATGTCAGAATCTGTGAGGAGAAAAGTAAAAAGGCACCCGAGAGCCATTTTGGAGAGAAAGGAAAAAGGTAGGAGTGAAAATGGCTACTTCAGCTTAGGAAAGTAAATAGACGGCTAAAATAATAAAAGGTAGTGTTAAAGCTTTGGAAGGAATTTTTTCATTTGAGGGAGATTATGAATAATGAAATGCAAACACAGTAGTTAATATGTCCGTTAGCTGGTTTATGTTTTCTTCTGGAAGACGAATAATGTGTTCTAAGAGGAATGGCCTTTCAGGTTATCCTCCTTGGCTGTCGTTGGGGGTGAGCCCAGAGTTTGGACCCCAGATTCCTTTACCAAACAAATGCTGGCTATCAGCTGCTCGATGAGGAGCCGTATTTATTCCAAGGCCACAAACTTCCTAATCCCCCACAAGCTCTTCCAAATGAATCTGACAACACTGAAATTTCTAAGGAGATTTACTCCAGCTGTAGCAAATCCCTAATAATAAAAAATTTCCCCAAATGAGTCAGTCACACAGGACATAAATGAGACGTTCTGTGTGAAGTCAGCATGTCATTCAGTGTGTGCCCTTTATACAAAAAGCCCAGCCAGAAGACTGTGTTGTCCACAGGGCAGAGCCTGGGCACTGGGGGTTGGGAGAGAGGGTGTCAGCCACCAAGTTGTCACTCGGGGTCCCTTGCCTCTCAAACAAACCTGATAGGAAAATCCTGATTATTTGCCTCACAAAAGGATTTACCAGAGGGGTCCTTTAAATAACAAGCCCGGAAAGAAAATTTATAATTCGATTGATATGTATAAACCTTTTTCAAAAATGCATCCCTTCACTGTGTGTATGTAAATATGTAAGGATGTATTTGTAGCTGCCGGCATTACAAAAAAAGGATTTGGGCGGTACATGCACAAAGTAAATTGAGGCAAGCTTACAGCCAAGGCATTTGCTAGGGAGCCCAGCTTGGTCCCTGATTGTGTTAATCCCCTAAATTACTCCACGGGTGATTAGGCAACCAGATAGAACCCTCCCCTCCTGATGACCCAGCCAGTGGGATGTCTGGACCTTTCGTTGTCCTTTCTGGAGAAATAGGCAACACAAAGCCTGGAGGTATCTGGTTATCATTTTAAAAAAATACCTTCAAGTATTTTCTGGGTGTGGGCCACGTCCCTGGCCCTGTTCTAGGTGACCCAGCGCTGTGACTGACTTAGTCCTCGCTACATGTCTATGTGGCGACGCTAATGATGGTGATGATGGGATTTACATTTTCATTTGCCACATTGTGAGAGCTGGCTTCTTTTTCTCTGCTGTCCTACTCTGAACAAAAAATCTTTCTTTTCTTATTTTTTCTTTTATTCTATCATGTACTGCTTTATGGGTTATTGAAATATGGTTAAATACACCGTTACATTAATTTCAGGTATAGGATATAGTGATTTGACAACTGGATGCATTCCCCAGTGCTCACCACGATGGTGCAGTTACCATCTGTCACCGTGAAAAAAAAAATTCTTAATGGAAGCAGCTTTATTTTATATATTTGTGGCTTATTAAGAGATGCAAGCTCATTGTAAGCAATTCAGATAATAGAAAAGAACAAAGAAAGAAGTAGCAATTACCGATTTTACCATCCATATATCTCACTACTGTTAATATTTTAGTTTATGTAGTCTTTCAGACTTTTTTCTGTTTGTGTATGCAAGATTGTTTGTGTGTATATATGTACACACATATATACATAGGTATTTTAACACATTGCTTTTTAAAAATCCATTTTTTTAAACTAACAATATAGCATGGCCATTTTCCTATAAAAACAAAATATCTAGACCTAAAACACTATCAGTTCACTATAGCAGTAGAGCATCCCATTTTATAAATATACCAAAATTGATTTACCTGCCTTCCTTTGTTGGACATTTTGATATGGTGCTGTTTATAAACAAAGTATCTTTTCACTTTTCTTATACTTTTTAAAATTATTATTATTATTATATCTACACCCACAAAGATGCATATACATCTTTTCACAATTGTCTGATGATTTTCTTAGGAACAATTCCTAGCAGTGGAATTGCTGGATTCAAGGGTTTGTCCCATTTCTGCCAAAATGCACCCCAAAATGTTTTAACAGATGTTCATTCCACTTACACTGCACTTTTACTCACTTGCTCTATTCACCTCAGAAATGGGTGTGAGGATACAACAAATCATGGCTGACAAATGACCAGGCTGAGTACTGACGCTCTATATAGATTATGTTGGTCACTTAAATCTCACAACAACCCTAGGAAAAAGGTTCTAATATCCCTTTTTGGCTGTCATTTTCCCCATTGCTGAGGATCAGAAAGGTTAAGTAACTTGCCTGAGGTCACCCAGCTAATAAGGCCACACTGGGATCCAAACCTAGTTCTCTCTGCTTCTGGGATCAGCCAGGGCCTGGCAAGGGGCGGAGGCTGGCGGGTGGGGGTGAGTGGGACGCTTCCATCCAGGTTCCTACATCCACTACTCACGTGAACTGGGTAATATCTGCTTCCTGAACACAGCTGGCTTCTCAACAGTGGCACGCCCTGATGGGACATCACCGTTACTCAACTGAGATTGACTGACTGATTAACAGTGCTTACCTTAGAGTGGAAATACCAAGGAGGGATTTTCCAGAAGGTTTGGGGAATTTCCTTTGCGAACAAACTATCTTTCCCCTTTTGTTTTGGAAGTGAGGAAGCACATTTTCAAACTGAGAGTCCTCTCCCAAATTGAAATCACAGATTCCCCCACCTCCACTCCCTTTCTCAGTCTGTGGCTCTCTCTCCAGAGCTGCTGGGGGGAGACCCGCCATCTTGTCTACACTAGATGCAGCAGTTTCTGTGATTCTTTTGACTGTAGGATTCCAGCCCTCTGGGGTCTAAGACTGAACTAATCCCGGTCCCTTCCTTAGACTTCCTTCAGTGCCCTGTTTGTTCCTAAGTGGCTGTGCAGTCTGAAATATGGCGCCTGGGGGCTGCAGTGAGGCCTTGGGCCACTGAGGCTCAAATAAGCTGCTTGTGCAGGCAGCCAGCTCCCACAGACCCTGTGTGTATGGCAGGAGCCTGCAGGCACATCCCAGGGAGGGTTGCTTCTCCCTCTCTTTACCCAAAAGAGAGAAATTTCTTACATGTTGTTTTAACAGTGTGCTGCAAAATAAACAAACAGGGAGGGAGAAGGAAAGGGATGGTTATCAGTAAATAGTGGGTACAGTGACCAGAAGTTTGCAGGGAGCTGGTGGGGAAGGACTCGCCCACCTCAGCTGCGGAGACAGTGGTAGTCACTGGGAGACCAGGGAGGAGCACAGAGTTGGCACCATGGAGATGACCAGAACACACAGCAAGGCCCCGAATGTGTGCCTGTGCAGTTAAAATGGCGTCCTGCGGTGTGTGCGCCATCCTGCGAACCTAGCCAAGGATGTCTGTCTTTGACGAGTCTTCCCCAACCTGGGACCGGGTTGATTGTGTTTGAAATGAGCTCAGGCCTCCGTGCAGGGATGGCCTCCTGCTCTGCCTCTTGCCGAGGCTAATAGTTATGTGCTCCTAGACACTGGGTCCCCAGGGATTCACCCCCTGCTTTTGGAGAAAGGTTTTTATGGCCTTCTCTAATACAGTGCTGATTCCTATTAAAAACGTGTTGTTGACTAGATGCTGCAGAGGTGAAATTGGTAGAGTCATCTCAAGGAGGGAGGGGGCCCACACACGGGAGTCTTTATCACTAACAATTAAAGATAAGGGAAGAGGGGGTAACCCAGGAGGAATCTGAAGCATGGGGGAGAGGGTAGGAAAGTAAGCAGATCTCTCAGGAACATCCCCAGTGTGCCTGGCTCAGTGCCTAGCACCTTCCTCATATGCTTTATTTCATCTCCAACCCAGCCCTCTGAACTGGATATTTTTATCCCCATCTTGTATGGATGAAGAAATTGATCTCAGAGGGGTTAAGTAACTTGCAGTAATGCAGAGCTAAGAAGAAAAGACTAAGATTCAGAGAGATCATGATGGAAATAAAAATGGTGCTATGGAAGGAAGGAAAAGTGCTTGTTTGGAGATATTTGATAGAAAGATGCTGTGTTCTTATGTGGGCAAGAGATAAGGCCCTAAATCTAGCCATCCACCGAGGCGCCCATTCTCTCCATGGCTTCAATAAGGCAATCCAGCTTCCTATATCCAGGTCGATCAGTCTATAGAAAGAAGCAAAGCTAAGTGGACTTTGTTTATCAATCTGAAATAACCCGGTGTCTAGGAAGGGCGAGCATAGGATCTGCCGTGAGACAGTGGTCCCTTTCCTCTCCTGAGAGTCATCTTTGCTCATACGTGCCCCTTTGTACCAACCTCACGTAGGTATGACTTCATTGAGATTCGGGATGGAGACAGTGAATCTGCGGACCTCCTTGGAAAGCACTGTGGGAACATCGCCCCACCCACCATCATCTCCTCGGGCTCCGTGCTCTACATCAAGTTCACCTCCGACTACGCCCGGCAGGGGGCAGGCTTCTCCCTGCGCTACGAGATCTTCAAGACAGGTCAGTGCGGTCACGGGTGGAGAGCGGGGGTCTGGGCGCGCTCGAGAAGACACGGGGCCGCCGTCGGTGTCTAGTTCTAGAGCACCGTCCAAGGGAACTGTGTGATGGTTCCATGTGCGTAGTGGAAAGTTACATAAGTTGTTGGAGTTGGAAGAGGGGCTCAGGGGGACCATGGACACAGCCCCAGGTGAAAAAGCCAGTTTAACTTACCCAACTTGAGAGCGAGCCTTGCATGGTTAGCGCTGGGTGTGCCCGCCAGGCAGACAAGCATTGTCTGTGGCCCCGAGAGAGGAGGGGGCACCAATAAAATACACAAACGCTTTCAAAAAGAATTCGATTTTTGTGTGTGTTTAAAAATCACAATAATCTTCATGGGAAAAAAGCAAAACTTAGTCGAACTTCCTCCTAATTACTTCATGGTTTAATGTTGCCTTTATCCAGAATTTCATGGGCAGAAGGACATAATCTTTTCAGTGTTTAGAGTCTCTAAAAGATCTTACCAGTGGGGTCATACAGTAGGTTTTACATTCGCATGTGGTTCGTCCGAATTCCCCTTGCTGACCCATTTTACCTCTTGTGCCTGTTGGACCCCAACTTCCTAAGTGCCAGGGTAAATACCTCCTGAAAAGCCATCAAAAAGGTAGTAGAAAAAGAGACAGAACACTGCACTTCCTTTAAGGTGACTACTTTAGGCTCTGAGAACATGGGTCCATCCTTACTTCCATAACCAGACTGACCCAACTCTTACTCCCAAGTCTCTGGTTCAGTATCTACACTGACGCGCTCCGAGCAGCGTGCCCGGCCCTCCCGTGTGCGAGCTCATTATCTTGAGACTGAGCAAAGTGCACCCCCCAGCCACCCTCTCACCCCCGGCCTGTTCCCCACCTCTCAGGCTCTCACCCTCCACCAGTGTGGCCCCTCTGAGCCTCTGTTTTACAACTTGTGGATGGAGTCCTGTACAAGGGGAGGCCGTCCACTTTGTCATCAGGAGACCCAAGTCTGGCGCCTGTTGGGTTCAGTTTAAGGGGACCTATTCATATATATTTTCTTTTCAATAAACAGTTTTTGAAAGGAAGTGGTAGCTGCTGAAAGCACTTTTTATATCCACTCTGTCTAAATATTTGTCAGATTTGTCTGCCTGAGAGCAAGAGCGTAGAATCCAATGAAGGGGCAGGCCTGAGGGAACTGCGTCCAGCCATCATCGAGCCGGAGTGGGAGCACAGACTGTCTCGGGCACAAGTCCCAAGAAGGCCCGTCTGTCATGGGTCATCACACTCCCAACCACATGAGGTCATAGGGACCGGCAGTCTGTGTCCAGTGTCCCAGGAGGCTGGTGAGAGGCTCCTGAATGCCTCCATCCATATTCCCTAGAGTCCTGTATAAGATTCCGATGGGTCATCCACCAGCTCAGCTGGAACCTTCATCGTCCCCTCTTCTGCAGTGGGGAGAGAGAAGATAGAAAGGAATAAAAACGGGATGTTTGCCCTCTTCTCGTGGGCAAACAGGTGTGCAAACCCTCCCATGTAACAGATGCACAGTGGATGTTGTTGGATGAACGTAGGTAAATAGTTATGTAAACTGAGAAGAAAACTATAATATGAGGCAATAGGAATCAGCACCGAGTAGTAGAATTAACATGATCGGGTTATGAGAACGAGGGCTCCATTGAGTGGCTTAGCAAGCGGGGGACCTGGGAAGTCAACTCGATAGCCAGGTCCCCAGGGCTAACGCCGCCACTCGGCTCCCCTGTGCGGACAGGGAACGGAAAGCAGCTGCAAGCAAGGTCTTCTGGGGAGCTGGCCCAGGGACGTCACAGGAAGGGTGAGCAGGACCCTTGAGCTCATCTCTGTTTCATGCTTCCTGACTTAGTATTTCCCAAAGGATGGTGCCATATTCTCCAGAAAGTCGCAGAAGAAGTGGATGTTAACCCTCTCCACGATGCACATTTGCAGGGCTGAGGGGAAAAGTTAAAACGCACGAGAGGGTAGCGTAACAGAGCACTGCTGTGTTGAGGACCACTAGTCTGTGGATGCCTAGACGCAGGAACTCCAGCCATGGCAGGCGGCTTGGCGTGGAGCAGTGGGGCAGCCTGCTTCAAGGACTAGGACGGCCTAAAGAAGGAAGAGAGAGATTCCTGCAGTGGGACACAGCCCCACCGACAACAGCCACATTTCTGGGGGAACCTAAGAGAGAAAACGAGAACCCAGTGCTGTTCTTGGGGTCCACTGTCTCCAGCCACCATGCCTGCCTGCGAGAGCAGCTCTCGGCATGACAATCGACCCTGTATACCACGCGTAGGTGTATGGGCTACACAGTTCAAAGCTGAGACGTCTAGAAGGATGAGCATTCCTTCAGGTGCCATGCCCTCCGTGCCCCCACATTTCCACTGTCAGAGTCCTGGAAGAAAATAAAGTTGACGTCACCCACGGAACATGAAAGAAATGTGTGAACATGCTGCAGAAATCCAAACAAACACAGCTATGTTTGCTAGTCAGATTCATAGAGAAAGAAGGGGGACTGTAAACACAGATACACAAGATAACCCTCCCGAGGACCGGGGAAGCCTGACGGCGCATTGCCCTGGCCAGCAGCAGCTGTAGAATTCTCCTGACAGACGCAAACCCCCAGCTCGGGTCTAGACGGGGGGGCATGTGGCTGGAGTGGGATGTTCCTGTCTGCCCTGAATGAAGTGGTTTATAAAAGAGTCAAAATAATACCAGACTGTCCACGTGTAAAAGAGCAAACCGAAATGGCTTGCAAACTTAAAGGATCTCAGATTGCCCAATCCTAAGCAGAACAGAGAAAGGAATTTTAAAATGACTTTAAAAGTAACACTGGACGCTGAATCACTGGAAGACATGGGTTTTTTGGTTTGTTTGTTTTCTGATACTCTTTTGACCAAAGTTCAAGATCAAGTTTTCTTTCCTGGTGTCCAGTGACATTTCAGAAACTGAAAGCCGTGGGGTCATTCACAGACAGAGAAACCTTAGCAAGTGCCCTCTAGTCCTACTTCTTGAACCGAATTTACCTTTCAAGGTCAGGCAGAGTTCCAATGGGATAAATCCACCACGTTTTAAGTAGCTTTATGCATGCAGATTTGCCTTTCGCTTGCAGAGTTATTGTAACATTGATGGTGGGAAAACACGGAGGGGGCATTTTCCACACCAGAGTCCTTTGGTATGAAATCATCCACCGCAGCCGAAATTCCCCAGCTTGCGTGGACAGCCTTAGCATTGAGTGAACAGGAGTGTTTGTTTTTGACTGAGCTATTTTTTTTAACCTTTAATTCTTGTACTTCATGGCAGAAAAGGATCTTGGATGAGCTAGATATCTATAAGATTCCACTTTTGTCCCAAGATGGTCCTGAGACCTCCTCTCCACTCACTCTTCAGCCTCCTGCTTTCTGACACTTTACCCACAGTCCAGACTCTGAGTGGCACAGCTAGAGATGAAGGTACCCCTGCAATGGACAAGTGTGATTGTTCTGCATAGAAAGGATAAAACTGGTTTTTTTCCTCGTTTAAAATAAGCCAGAGGATACACCTATGTATAGCCATGTGTCAAAGAGAGATACACACTCTTTTTGGTGGTTTTTGTTTGTTTGTTTCGCCTTAAAGATATCATATGGAAAAATTCTGACCACCCAAGTGCAGGACTGTAACTCTGAACTCTGGAAACGGGCTCCGGGGTCTCTCTCGGGCTCACTAGGTGTCCAGTGTGGAAGACTTTGTCCCCTAGGGATGGGAGGAACCAAAGAAAGATTCCACCAAAAATTCCCCACTCCCAGGGAGATGGGGATTCCCCTGGCCTTGAAAGGGAATGACAAGAGAGCAAACCCAAAGAGGGAATGTCAGGATGCCTTTTCTAGCTCCGAAAGCAAGTCGTGGAGAGAGAGTTAATTTCCTCTGGCTGAGTGACCCACATGGAGAAGACCACACAATAGCAATGAACACTAACCTTTTCAAGATTCCTCGCAGCCCTTCCAAAGGCCTGCCAGCTGGCTTGGCTTGGCCAAAGCGCCTCATCCCGGACCATTGAGGAGGCCCTCCAGAGTGTGAGGCTTGACAGTAAACAAAGCTGGGGCCTCGGCGGTAAACACACTGGGGAAAGACCGTCCCGGCTCAGCCCTGCGGACCTGGTTGCCGACGGGGCCGCCCTGCCCTTGACAGAGCACAGAGCCTCCGAGGGGCAGATGTGGCACTTAGGGAGCGTTTCGAACCCTGAAAAGGTTAGCTCTTGCCCCAGCGGGCACGGGGCACCCCCCTGCCAGGGCAGAGCGCTGGTCGGAAGGGCGGAGGGCATGGATGGGCGGGTCGGGATGTCGGGATTTTCGTCTGATGCGAAAGGAAGTTGCGGCCCCCCTTCGCCCACTTCTTTGCATGGCCCCTTTGCCGAGTCCGACCCTCGTGCCTCCCAGAGAGCTGTTGTCGATACGGAGCCCTGCAGAGGGGCCTGCTGCGGGAGCCGAGGATGAAGACATCGCTGCGGGCGAAGATTCGTGTATTGACATCACACAGTTCTGTTGCAGTGGGATCCCCAGAGGACACTTCCTGCCAGTAAACACCTGCTTTATTGAGTATTTCTGTATTTTTCCTTCATACTTCCAGTGCCTGTTATCCTCCTCATAAACCCTGCTACCTTTTTTTTTAATTTTAAAATCAGAATGCAGTGAAATCGATTGTGACAGTCCAGCCTTCCAATGGTACCATGGATTGGTATTGCTTTTGGCCCCGGCTGCTCCGTGGGCCGGTGGCCTGGGCTGCAGTGTCCTGGGACCCGCCAGAGGCCCGTCCTGGCTGAAAACCCATGAGGCGCCTTTTAATGGGACTCTACCTAGAGGCATTCCCAGATCTGGTGGCTCTAATCCTCTTAGAGCTCCCACTGCCATCCAAGCCTGCACCGGGCCGCGAATGTGTGCCTCATTTAATAAGAAGGCCTCCCGGAGTCCCAAGGAAACAGCCCCAAGAGCTTCGGAGACAAACAAGGCCCTCCCCACCACAAAGGGACCAGAAGCATTCCAAATGTCAATACACTGGAGCATTTTTCCAAACTTGCTGCTAGAGCAGCCTTTAACATCCCCAACGCCCTGCTGTGATCCACCAGCTACAAAAGTCGATTGTTAATTGTCTGGCCACTACAGAGCAGCTCGTTTTAATATAGTCATGACATGAATGAGACCCGAGCTCCCCTTTGCCCCTCCCCTGAGGCACCTTGGATCTTGGAGGGAGAAGGGGGCACTTCATTGGCTCTGGTACAATAGGGGCTAGTGTTGAGGTCAGCAATAAATAAGGGGTGACATTGTTTTCCTTGCTGGCAATCAGCAAGCCTTCCTTAAGGATTGAAATAACTTACATTTCTGGAGCAAGCAGCTGAGTAATTGAGAAAGAAGACTCTGTTCCTCTTTCCAAGAGACTCTCTCTCTCTTTCTCTCTCTCTCTGTATCTCACACACACACTTCTTTCTGACCCCCCCCACTCCCCAACGCCTCAACGGGTGCTCTCGCTCTGCTACGTAGAGCACGCCAGCTCTCCTCCCCTAATTTCTCTCCTCGAGAGAGTCTGGCTTAAAGGCTTGAGACGTGGATGTGAAGAGTATGTTTCTTCAAGGGCCACTCCAGTAGAAACAAAAGCCGTATGAGGAGGGGGATCAGGGCTCAAACATTGAACTAACCCATGTGACCGAGGCAGCGAAGGAGGGCCTCTTCTTCTCTTCCCTTAATGCTCCAGTTCTCTTTTACATACAGGCTCCGAAGACTGTTCCAAAAACTTCACAAGCCCCAACGGGACCATCGAATCCCCCGGGTTTCCCGAGAAGTATCCGCACAACTTGGACTGCACCTTTACCATCCTGGCCAAACCCAAGATGGAGATCATCCTGCAGTTCCTGACCTTTGACCTGGAGCACGACCCGTTGCAGGTGGGAGAAGGAGACTGCAAATACGACTGGCTGGACATCTGGGACGGCATTCCACATGGTGAGTGATGCTGCCCTCACGAGAGGTTTCTCTGTAGCTTCGCCTTTGCCTGTGAATGGCTTTGGTGACAATAAAAAGCGAGAACAAAGGCTTCAAAGCTCCTTAGGGTTTGTGTATAACCCATGATGACTTTCTTTCTTGTTTTTCACCAAGGATGATTTCAGAGGAATTGCAGAAAGGCAGTTTCCTTTCTTGGAAATATTTCTTTGGAGAAGGATAGGCAGAGACTGAGTGGACACCTGGATGAGGATGAGAAAGCCTATCCGTAATGTCCTCTTCTGGACATTAGTAGAAATTGACTAGAAATTGACGTAGAAAGTGACTCCATGACCACCGTTTCTGCCCAAGTAGGATGCTAGAGCCACACGGACTAGATCTGGATCCTGGCTCCGCTCTGAAGCAGCTCTGTAAACCTGGGCAGCTCACTTAAACCCTGCATCCTACCTGTATAAATAATCTGCTTTCATCATCATCATTATTATTACTATGATTTTACTGCTATTAATTAAAACAGTCACAGATGTCAAAAAGCCTGAGGAACCAGTACTTCTCAGCTGGCGTCCAACGTAGGTCTCCATAGTTCGTCTCGGTGAGAAAGCCACTCGTTTGCTTCTGTAGTGAGCCTCAGTGTTTTGCACTGAGAGGGAGGCTTGACGACTGAGCAGTTTCATTTCCGGAGAAGAGCATAAGACTAAGTCAGAAAATTTGGGTTCTGAGTCTCAGCTCTTCTTTCCAAAGTCACGTGACCTCCCGAACCTCAGTTTGTTCTTCTGTAAGTTGGGTGTTATAATGGTAGCTTTCCGGCCTGTCCCCAGAACAGAGTGAGAGAAGAGAATGAGGCCAAGTCAGGGAAAACACAGGTGCCCCTTGAACAGAGAAAAAAAGTACAGTTGCCCCTTGAACAACACAGGGATTCAAAGGGCTGGTCGACCATATAGCCGAAAATCCACACATGCCTTCTGCCTCCACAAAACTTAACTGCTAATAACTTACTATTGACTGAAGGCCTGACTAGTAACATAAATAGTCCATTAACACATATTCCATATGTTATATGTATTATATATTGTATTCTTACAATAAAATAACCTAAAGAGAAGAAAATGGTATCAAGAAAGTCATAAAGAAGAGAAAATACATTTACAGTACTGTGTTTGTCAAAAAAGAAAAATCCATGTTTAAGTAGGTCCGTGCGCTTCAAACCCATGTTGTTTAAAGGTCAAGTGTATTTTTTAACGTACAGGAAAAATATGAGACAATGTCCTTAGAACCTATCTTTGGTCATTCTTCTATACCCAAAGAGTGCTCTGTGGCGCGACTTCGATTGTGGCAAGGGTGAATGCATTGAAAATGGAGTTTGACATTTCCATTTCTACTGACCTGTTTTTGTCCTGCCTATCTAGTTGGCCCTCTGATTGGCAAGTACTGTGGGACCAAAACACCCTCGGAACTCCGCTCGTCAACAGGGATCCTCTCCCTGACTTTTCACACAGACATGGCGGTGGCCAAGGATGGCTTCTCTGCACGCTATTACCTGATCCACCAAGACCCACCAGAGAGTGAGTTGGCCGGTTGAGAACTTCTGTCCTCTCCTTCCATCAGGGCTGTGAGATGTACGGTGAAGAGAGGGAAATTCTCCAGAATTTGTAGCAGCCTCTGAATTCAGGGAATGGGGGCTATATCCTCTTGCTAGACAGAGATTTGTAAGAGTCGAACAAATGTCGGCCGGGTACTCATTTCTTTAGAAAGTAGGTATATGTACCAAGAATGAGTTATTCCCAGGGTAAGTCGCGGGACCATCTCCCACTTCAGTTTTCTCATCTGTGAATGCAAGGGAGGTGAGTCAGGATATCTACATAGGGTCCCCTCCCTGGGCTAACATTTTTTGAGTCTTTTCTCCCTCTCTCAGCCTCAGTGGCCATGGTCAGAAAACTGAGCAATTTGTAAACCTTCTTCATCTATGTATTTTACATTGAACATCGCTGGCCCTGGGTAGAGTTTGTCTCACTAGACTGATACATGCTTGGACTTTGGCTTCATGCTTCAGTGTACACACTTTCTAAGCTCCTACCTTGTGCCAGGTACCTTGCAAAGCCTCGAGTGTAGCTCCGACCCCAGCTGTCCTGGAAATGCCCATCTAGACCTTGAGTCTCCTGCCTCCATCCACATCTACTCTGAACTCCATCTTCAGATCAGCTCCTCTAGAACACGTGCTTCAGACGTGCTGCCTTTACCCCCCTAGAAACCCAAGTGATAACTCTGAGCCCTAAAGACGTTCTTTAAGGATTGGAGCTGGGCAAATCCTGTCCCGGTTGTAGACAGCTTACTATGTGCATACCCACAGACATGGCAGCCCGGCCAACTGGAAAGGCGATGGGTTTTGCTTTCGTTCTTCCAAGGGCTCATGAAGATTGAGGGATAGGAAAACAGTATGGCACCAAGAGCTGCCCATGGCCAGCACCGTCACAGAGTGACTCGGGAATGGGTTTGATACCTGAAAAAATTGCTGGGCTTTATCGAACACCTGCACACACTGATACTGACCAGTGTCTGCGGTGTCCATGGGAAGGACAGCAATTACACTAATGGCACGGAGCCAGAGTCTGTGACTTCTGGGTCCATTTGCCCAGGTAGAGGGCACAGGGGAAGAGAGTGGCGTGGCTGTGCTCCTGGAGAAATGTCCCAAAGTTGGGTATTCACTGCTTTGCAGTGCCGGTCTTCTATGCCAGAATGCAAGACATTTGAGTGAAAGAGAGAAGCAGAAGGGCCTCCTGGGTGTTTGTGAAGAAAGCAGGCTTCTCACGATGTATCAGCCCACCCAGATTGCCACGAGTCTATCACACATGTACCTGTATTTCAGTTACGGTGCATCTGGCGTCTGCGAGCGTCTGTAGCCTGAAGCGCCAGCAGTTCTTATACTTGAGACTGTATTTTTAATTTGTATGATGATTCCTATTTACCCACAGCCTGACTTCTTTTAGGCCCAATTTAGTTTCTTTTCAGGCCCAGAGGGGTTGTCAAGCTCCATGACTTGGCAGAGTTGTTTTCAAAATGCGGTGTGTAATTAGGTCTTTTAAGATGAGGGAGTTCCTGCAAGGACTTGTCCCTAGAAGGGAGCAAGATTTGGGGGATCCCGGGAGTTTGAGGTTGAGAGACGTAATCCTGCGCTTGACCCTGTCCCTTCCCCAGACTTCCAGTGCAGCGTCCCTCTGGGAATGGAATCTGGCCGGATTGCTAATGAGCAGATCAGTGCCTCCTCTACCTACTCTGACGAAAGGTGGACGCCTCAGCAAAGCCGGCTTCATGGCGAAGACAATGGCTGGACCCCCAACTTGGATTCCAGCAAGGAGTACCTCCAGGTACATACTCAGATAACGCACGGTGTGCCGAGTGTGGGTGGACTGGTGGGCACGGGAGGAGGCTCGGCTGGAGTGGACGGAGGACACAAGGAAAACACACACAGCCCATACTCGAGAGCTCCCTTCATTCATCCGTCCAGACACACGCATGTTCCAGGCACAGAGAGACTCAGCCAGGCACTGTACTAACTGCTGGGATCAAAGGATGATAAGGCAGACACTGCCACCACCCTTGTGAAGATTACCAGGCTTTGGGGAAGTTGTTTGGCCTGGGCGCTGTTTGCCTCTTCGTATAGCTATCCAAGGAACATTCTATAAACAGTTCCAGATCTTTCTCATTCTTGGCACAGGGAGGCATCAGAGACTTGGTCGGGGGAGGGCTTTTTCCTGAGGGCAGACTTGTTGAGTCGCTGGCTGAGCATGGCAGCTTCTCATGATCTTTGCTGTTTGGAGGGAGCCCTGCCAGGAAGGTTTTGCACATAGCGATCAGAAGAACACACGGGAAAATGTCACCACCGGGAATGCAGCTCTGGTTGCCCAGATGCTTTGCACCGTCTTCTCAAACTATTGTTCGCTTTCCTTCTGAGTGAGCCTTGCAGTGTATGTTGAATCCTCCCCCACGAAACCGTAAACCGGTCTGGTTCGCATCCCCCAGGAACAGTGAGCTGCTAGGTCCATGCTAGAGCAATGACTGCTTTTATGACACACACCAGACAGCCTTGTGACCCACTGACAAGCGGTCCTAGCTCTGATGTGACCCAGTGGCCTCCGCTCTGAGAAGGACGTGGCAGAGCAGACAACAGGACAGGGAGAAGTACCCCTTAGAAACTTCCAGGCAGTCCGCAGAGGTTCAAACAGGGCAACCCTAAGGCCATTTGTCACTATCTCTTCTCTGCCTCTCCAAAAACCCTTCTCATCCTGCAGAGCTTCCAGAACGTTCTCCTACATAATCAATGTTCCATTGATTTCACTCCTTATTTTTGGTCCTCAATCATAAGCTTTCTCTTGTTGCCCTCCAGCTGTTTATAGTACACATATACAGCACGGCCTACCTCTTTTGAATTCACTATTATGCTGAGCACATAGTAAGTACCAATAAATGCTTCCTGAATCAAATTTTACCAGGGAGTGCTGGCTCAGTTTGGATCACAGGGGGGTTGTCATTAAGAAACACTGCGGCCGGCAAAGGAATGACATCCAGCAATTTCCAAATGGGTTTAGTGTTGTGGGAAGAGAGGTGCCTCAAAATGTAGGCCATCTTCCTCACTGAGCAAAAGGTCAGGACTTGGTGCATAAGCCTAATTGCTTGGGCAGACTCTGAATGCCCTTTGACCCTTTGGTGACCCGAGTGACTAACTACACAATGGAATGAGGGACCGAGGGAAGGCAGGGGAGGCGAGGCAGCCCCGAGCTGAGACGTGGCAACCAGAGTGTCGTAAGTGAATTGGATTGGACCGGACTGCAGTGGGGTGGAGTGGAGAGGAGTGGAGTGGACCGGATTTAACCATTGTTCCTTTAAATAGCATCTGATTTTACGATGCAGGGAAGGCTGTAGTTCAGTAAGAAGAGGTCACAGTTCTAGATGTTCGAGGATCCCTTTAAGGTAAACTGAATATGGTCAGTTCAGATTTGCAAAAAAAAAAAAGGGGGGGGTGGGGAAAAGAAAAACCATCCAGTTACCATTTCAAAGGGATCCAATGTAGGGCTAGAGAAGTGGAGTCTGACCCTCCGGGCTGGAATTGTAGACTGATACCAATCCCTCTGATTCTGGTAGATCACACAGGCACAAGTAGCAAGCTAAGTATGACAGTTTTGTCCTTTGAAGGAATAGCAAGAGGTTGCCCTCCTGTCGGGAGCTATGGGTCCCTTATCCCTCCTCCCCTCTTCCTCAGGTGGACCTGCGCTTTCTGACCATGCTCACAGCCATTGCAACGCAGGGCGCCATTTCCAGGGAGACGCAGAATGGCTACTATGTCAAATCCTACAAGCTGGAAGTCAGCACGAACGGGGAGGACTGGATGGTCTACAGGCATGGCAAAAACCACAAGGTAACCCCATTTCCTCTCCCCTCCCGCCCCCGAAGACATGCTGGGGTGTGCAGGAGCCTGGGGATGAGAGGAGCTGCCAGGTGACCCCACAGAAAGGAGGAGGCCTTGCTTGGTGAGACTCAAGTAATTGACGGAGGCATGGGAGGCGGTGGCCCTGAAAATATTCTTTCTTATCCTAAAGTGATTGGAAAACACTGTTTCTCTGACAGCCTGGCTGCTGTGGTGTGTCGCACCGCAGAGAGAGAGTGTGTGTGTGCATGAGCTCGCACAGTGCTCTCTGACTGCAAATGAAGGAGAAAATGTGTCCCCAGTCCGCGCCTTCCCATACAGGATTCATTGAGCATTTATGGCCTGAGTCCCTTCCCCATGCTGGGTTAACAATCACAAAACCACATGAAACTGTGGTTCAGGAGTTACCGAGGTCTAGAAATGAAAGGGCACAAATCCTGAGAGGGAATCACAATGTCCCGAAGAAGAAAGAGGACAATAAATGATGAGGAGAAATTCAGTTTGTCAGGGATGGGATCTGAACCGGCCGTCATGCTTGGCAGAAGGCATTGAAATCTCCCGGCTGGTGCCTTCAGTGTCTGTGGCTCCCGGAGGTGTGTCCGCACGGGTGATGTGGGGCTTTTGTTGTGCACATGGATGGATGTGGGGCGCTCGGCTTTCTGAAGACACGCGGCTTCCTGGCGGCGAGCAGGACTGCAGCCAGCACCGCCAACCCTGGTTATCAGGGGTGCTCGGCACATGGGGGGCTCATCGGGAGCGGCTGGTGATCTAGCCTGGGCCAGGGGCAAACTCTGTCAGATGCTGGCTCCTAGCTCTGGGAGGACAGTGTCCATCCTTCCCCAAATGGAAGCAGGAACAGGCAAAGGGACCCTCCTCTTTCATGCTCCCGTTCTGCCGGGCCCCTGGCCTGTTGTATCGCGAGTGAGCAAAGTGGGACGCATGTGACCAAACCAAGAGAGGCCAGAGATCCTTTCCAAACACAGCCTCCTCGGCTCCTGCCACGGTCCCAAGGTGGCTTGCCCTCGCTGGTGCGGCTGGAAACATTGGACGGAGAAAAAGCAGAACTGTGGTGTCGACACTGATTCACTCAGGAAGTGTGAGTTTTTAAAGCAGTGGGTTTTTTTTTTTTTATTATTATTAAAATCGCCATAGTAACATGGCACCATTCATCTGAAAATCACGGCTTCTAGATATTACCAGGTATCTCTCTCACACAATTTCTTCATTTCACAGATGAAAAGGGAGGTTTTTCGCAATTGAAAGACCTCCACACCTTGACACAGTCGGCCAGGTCTGGCTTCTCATTGACTTCTTGTGTTTTGGTTACAAATACCACTTGGCAAGGGCAAGGCTGAGTTGGCACTGGCTGTTAGGGGCAAGGGACCGGGTGCTCGTCCCCCTGGCGCTTTCCCATGCCTTCTCTCCCCACCCACCCTTTTCTGTAAGAAACCGGTAGAAGCTGGAAAGAACCTCTGCCAGGCAGGCGAGGGCCAGTGCTGAGGAGGGGTGGGCCCTGGGGGAGAAGGAGGCGGCTCACCTGACTGCCTCCCTGTCCAGGCTCAATGACTAAGCAGTGCTGGCCAGAGGGATACTGTAGCATAAGCTGATTTTAAAAGCACGCAGATGGACTGAGATGCTATTTAAAACACTATTTGTAGGAAATCTGCTTTTGGAAATACCTTAGCACTGCACATTTTGACAGAATGCTGTCCTCCCTGGCTTTATCCCTGGTGTTCATTCTGCGGAGAAGATATTCCTGAGAATTGAATTTAGCTTGCTGGTCTCCTTTGGAATCATTCTCAACTTTTTCATATTAGATAGATTATTCTTTCTCTCTCTTACCTCCCCTTCTCACCCTCGGCTAGATTTCTCTCCCCAGGTGCCAAGGGGTAATTTCGTTTTTGTTTTGAGGTTGTTTGGCTTTTTAGTGATCAGTCCTGCCCACGTGAAAAATACACTGGGGCAGAGGAAAAACCGTTTTCTGTCCCCCATTAGATATTCATTCTCTGGCTACCTAGAAGGAGGCAGGAGAATGGAAAGCCTGCCAGTTAGGCGTTGCCCCCTCCCCTTGCTCCCCTGCCCCACTGCAGGTGCGTGGGCCATGAGGGAGACCCGCCCCTCCGCCCCTGTGGCGGTGATCTCTGTGGCTCCTTCATTAGCAGATCGCTCTCCCAGATGTCTGTATCTGATGTGCGGATCCCACACCGCACCGTTGGTGGAGCGTCAGCGCAGCTCTCTGCTCTGTTCGGGTTGAAATAGTTGAGTGAACCGTGCCAAATAGATTTGTCAAGTCTGCTGCAGTTTGATTTGATGCCATGAAGGGGAGGCGGCTGAGGAGGGGAGCTGGGGGCCGGGGAGGGGAGTGGCTTCATCTGCACCGTCTACGCTGGCCGCTACCACTGAGCTTCTCTTTGTAGCCACTGGCTGGTGGGCGCCATGCCAAGATAACTGGTACTAGGTGGTGGGCTTGAAAGCACAATTCCGACAGCAGGACCTGTGAGCAAAGCAGAGTGGAGGTAGAGGCGGCAGCGGGCTCTGTTCTGACACGCAGGGGGATGGTTTGCAGGCACAGGGTGTGAGGAGGGGATGGTGATGTTTGGGGCAGAGATGCGGGAACTTGATTTCAATTCCCTGGTTACTGTCAACACCAGTGCTATGTACCAAAGACCAGGGAATTGGGGAAATTGGAGAAAAAGAAGATTAATGAGTGCTGATGGTGGTGGGGAATGGCTATGCTATTTCCTTGCAATACGCGATTTACAATGTGGACCCAGGCTGGGCTGTGGCAAAGCCTGGGCCGAGGTGGGGGTGGGGGGTGGGGGGAACAGCTTCCTTCTTATGACCAGAAAGTGAAGAAGACTAAGGAGCTCTTTTCCAGCTTCCCGCCAGCCTGTGTGCAGCCTTGTCTGTCTCTCTCTACCCAGCAGGTCACGGTGAGGTTACCTCTGAAGAAGGCATTTGAGTATCATGGGGGGGGGGGGCAGATTGCAAGCATCCTCCTGGCAAAACACGGCCTATTTACGCAGACCGCATGTACAGCACATCCCCAAACCCTTATCCAATTACACACGCCATAAATATGGAACCTATGATTTTCCTATAGGGTGGGCCCTCCTTATGCATATTTATGTCGTAACCACAAGGCAGAGAGCTTGTCCGCCTGATGGAGCCCATATCCAGCCCATGTGCTCCCCTAGATTGTACAAATGGCTTCACATATATTTCTTTAGAAACCACAAGCAGAAAACTACTGCTTTTGATTTCACCAGCTACATTAACAACACCCTAAACATAGACATAGTGTTGTAAATACAGTATTAGAAGGTTCACGTATGTGTCTATAATTATGGGCACAGTTATGTACACACAAGGCATGGGAAGGGCAGAGAGAAAAAAGGGAGTAGCTGGAGGCTGGAGGCCTTGGCCAGGACCCTGCTCACCTCTGAATGGCTAGTTCTCTGTGTGTGCTGGATGGAACGAGGTCAAGAACAAGGTCAAGACGGGAGACAGAAGCCGTTGCCCTTCTATGTTGAGGCAAGAGGCCTTGTCTTCATTTCTCCCTTATTTGGTGAAAGTGGGCATCTCATTGTTGACATAGTGCTGGTTACCTTGCTGTTGTTAGTCACAGTGCTGCTGGCTGTTCTGATGTGTTTGGAAGAAATTTGGGCTCAAAGAGAGAGCCTGCGGGGGTGCTAAATATATCTTGATGGCCAGATTGAGGATGGGAGGGTGAACACAGGGATGAGGTCCAAGAGTTTTCAGAATTACCCTGTAATGAGTGGCAGAAATGTGCTAAGTGAGCACATCCCGTTCGTGCACTGATGGCTTCCAAGGGATCAGAGATCCAGGTACCACCTCACTGCTTCAGAATGGAACAGAGTTTCAAAGACTGGGGTTGTGGGGCGCCTGGGTGGCTCAGTGGGTTAAAGCCTCTGCCTTCGGCTCAGGTCACGATCCCAGGGTCCTGGGATCAAGCCCCACAATAGGCTCTCTGCTCAGCAGGGAGCCTGCTTCCTCCTCTCTCTCTCTCTGCCTGCCTCTCTGCCTACTTGTGATCTCTGACTGTCAAATAAATAATAAATAAAATCTTAAAAAGAAAAAAAAAAAAGACTGGAGTTGAAGCTCTTAGAGACAGAGTAATTTGCCCCAGGGACCTGGGGAACTGTGGAGTCCCAGTGAAAGGCTCCCGGTCACAGGGTTTTGATCTCCAGGAAGATGCTCCCCACTCTGACCCAGGCCTTGTTGTCATCTTGACCCAGAGGGAAACTGGCTTCCTAAATGTTCCGTGTAGGGGTCTACAGGTGTACATTCCCCTGGAGAGCTCCATCGTTGTGGAGATCTGAAAGCAAGCAGCCTTCGGGTAGTGTGGCGTAGTGTGCTCGGCTGATCCGTCTGGAGTCTGGGCGACGTCCTAGAATCCTGAGGACGCAGAGCTGAGAGAAGTTGCTTTGTGTTTGATTTGGCCACATCCCTTCAAAACACATCCACACCCAACTTCAAAATATTCTCTGTCCTATATTTATTTTCTAAATTAAAACAAGTCACTTTGAAAACCATCAGAGATTCTAAGACCCTCTGCAAAATTATCAGAGACTTAGGAGGAGAGAGAGTGGTGTCAGAAAACCAAACCTCCAAGTCAGTCGGCTAACAGAACCATGTGGCATCTATTTTCAGATCTTAGATGATGCATCGTGTGACCCTGGAAATTTCTCCTAATAGCCCCATGCCTCAGTGTTTCCGCCCGCCCGAACGGAATGGTGCTGTAGCTTGGGGTGGCAGGGTACCTTGGGATCTGTAGATGGAAGGCTCTCTGCAGATATAATTAATGTATTAGGCCCACAAAGCTCTTCTCGAGCAGAGCAAGTTATCAATTTAAAAAGTAACAAGGCCCCATGGGATATTTATCTGCCTCTTTTAAAATCGTAGGTCTGGAAGGGACCTGATAAGTCCTCCAGACCTCTCCCTGCATCTGATGGGCCCTGCACTTGAGC